TGTACATTTGCTGTCATGTTAAACTTATATTAAAGTTTTTCTTCATTACCCATTTAAGCCGTCTCCAGCCATTATTAATATGAAATAATGTTAACACAAAAAGCCTCATCAGTCTTATACAAGACAAAAACCATTTTTACTCTTAAATTAAAACTTCCAATGAATGCAATTTAATTTTATAAAATTTTTATATCAAGGTTAAATTAAAATATATTTATTTTTGATCCATAACACATCTAAATCATTCTTTCCTCCAAAAGACCTTTAATTTCAGAAAAATATTCTTTACATACTCCAAATATTACTCCTACAATTCTTAATATAGAAATTTGCCAACTTGTGAGATAGCAAATTCTATTTTTTTAAGATTATGGTTGTGTTTATCGTTCATTTATTATTTCCTTCTCTCATTTAGTTTATCGATATGAATCTTCAGTTGCATTAAAATGCTAACTCACTTTCTACATAATCATTTGTATTTTGAGTGAATATGTGTTTATTAAGAAACTGACACCAGCTTCCCTAGCTGTGACATTCAGATACTATTAATATAGCAGAAGAGTATGTAAATTTATGATCACATGTGGTTGTACTCTTGTGGCCTACCCATCTAAATACCCTGCTAGAAGCTTCACTAACAGAGAGAGTCATGAGAGTTATTGAAGGGTACAGTTATTGCTATTTGTCACTCGATATTGTTATCAATATTGAAAAGTATTGTTCAAACATGGTATTTGCTGTATTTTTTTTTGTCTCCAATACTGTGCAACCTTTTCATGGAATATTTTGAAACCAAATTAGTTCCTTCTATCAATATAAACCTTTCAAAAATTCTGTGGTTCTGATATGTTGATGATATATTTTCTGTGTGGCCAAAGAAAAGAAGTGATTTTGAAAGTGTTTTCAACAACCTTAATCAACTTCATCCAACTATCAAATTTAAAGTTGAATGAGAGAAGGATGACCAACTTTCTTTCTTGGATGTTTTGATAACCAGACCTCTCAGTATATCACAAACCAACAAATTTTTTAGGTTATGTTCACTTCTTTTCGTGTCACAATAAACAGATCAAAACATTTATTATTTCTTCCTTTTTTTCTTATAGCATATAGAATATGCCATCCGACAATGCTTGAACATCAAATTAAAAAAATCTTTTCTAATTTCAAAGAACTACATTTTCCACAATGTTTCATTACAAATTGCCATCTCAAAGCAAGAAAAACCTTGTTCCCTGAAAATAAAGAAAGGTCAACTAGTGATAATGTGAAACCACTTTATATTGGCTACAACACAAACCTTGAACCCCTTGAGAAAATGTTAAGGAAGAATAACTTTAGAATCATATACAAATATCCGAACACCATTAAAAATAACCTAACTTCAAACAGAAAAACACCTGAAGATAAAACACAAGGTGTTTATATTATACCATGCCAAACCTGTGAGAAAGGTTGTGTAGGTGAAACCCGAAGAAGTGTTGACACGAGTTTCTAAACATGAAACATGGAAACCAAAACAATGCCATTTTTCTTCATATGAGAGATTCTGGCCATCAAATTGATTGGAAATCAACAAGAATTTTATACAAAACGGATAACTACATAAAAAGAAGAATCATCAAAAGTTGCTTAATTAAAAGTTTGCCTAATTTCAACAACTCCTAAGATCACTTTAAACTTAATAACTTCCTGACCTCCTTAAGGGAATTCTAAGATCAGGGGTCACGTAGGCTTTTGTTGAGAAGCTTTTTCTTGCCAGAAAACAACATGAGACCGAAGAGGATGCACAAATGTGTTGAAACTATTTTCTCTAATATCAGACTTCTGACAGTTTGATCTGTTTATTGTGGATTTTCACTAACTGCTATATTGTGTTCTTCAAGTTCCTACCTGGATTACACTATAAGAATAACAATTTGTACTAGATATATAAAACCTATGCTGCTCTATCTTGTGAAGCTTATACAAGGTTCACTTATGGCAAACAAACAATTTTGTTAAACTACAGGCAAAAGCTAAACTGTGTTCACAAATATGAAAAGAAAATTAACTCTCAACACATTACCTGCTGCAATGCTTCGCATCATCTATGGCTGGTACTAATAAATGTTGTGGTGTAATATCATTGTATTTTCAATTTAAACAATAGTAATAAAACAATACAATCAAAAACACGTAATTTGATATTTTTTTTAAATCTAAGACACACATGTGCATCCTCAGCATTATACAAACATTATGGAGGTCAAGTGCAGCAGATGCACATGTGCATCTAGAAGTTTATTTAGATAAAATATGTAAAAAAATAATTTTATTCAAAGAAAATACAAAAAACAAACAATTGAAACATGTACTTATCATTACATAAACAACTTATAATGAATACATCAATATTTTTTGTGGTACAATTTGAAGCATAGATCTAAACAAAGTCCAGGTGATTCTGAACAAGCTTGACAGTTACAAACTGAATCTTTCAATTTTCCTATTTCATTGCATAATCTGCACTTTTTTGTCATCATTTTATTGCTTGCATCAATTTTGCATTTTGTTGGCAAGTGTTCAACATCCTTAGCTTCTGGTGACTTACTTGCAACTGGAGTTGGTAAGAGCTCCTTTATTACCACCAGATGAAAATCATAGTGTCATTTTGTTGGCAAATGTTCAACATCCTTAGCTTCTGGTGACTTACTTGCAACTGGAGTTGGTAAGAGCCCCTTTATTACCACCAGATGAAAATCATAGTGTCATT